GATATATAGTAATGGTAAAATAAATAAAATTATTAATAATAACAAATCCTGCTGCAAATACTTTTATATAATACTCATGTATGTTCATTTATTCTAACTATTTTGAAAAGATCTTGAGAGTGGAATCGCTATCGGTAGAAAGCAGCAGATAGGACTTATCTAAATATGGGTAAGTAACTTATTGTATTCGAGGACCTAACAACGCTTCCACTCCTCATATTAACACTACTAACATTTGACTTTCACTGTTATTATATGGTTACAGTAAATCAGATTTGAGTATCGTTCAGTTTGAGCATAGGATCGATCGTGTTCAAGAAGTGATCTCGTTTCAGAGATGAGTTCAAGCTTACTGAACAAATTAGATTCGTGCATGCCGAATCTGCAGAAACTGAACATGGAACATGCATTCTCGGTGAGTTCTGAACTGTAAATCACATTCCAATCGGGCAGTTTTTCCGAGCGATATCGCGATTAATGAGGACGCGATCGAAATGTCCNTTCGTGCATGCCGAATCTGCAGAAACTGAACATGGAACATGCATTCTCGGTGAGTTCTGAACTGTAGATCACATTCCAATCGGGCAGTTTTCATTGCGATATCGCGATTAATGAGGACGCGATCGAAATGTCCAGTGGAATGCTTAAGTGCAATTCTGAAAATTCCACACGGAGTAGTGTTTATGAGAAATGTTCAGAGAGCCGCGATGCAGTTGATTTTTATCAGCAGCCGACGAAAAGGCGAATTTTAATCGTCGTCGGTTGTTGACCACAAAAATTCGTACAAAATGCAGTTTCGCTGACCACCAAGCCAACTCTGCAATTAGTTATTTGCATGCAGTGCGATACTTTTAGCGTTGATCGTTTGCTTTTTGTATTAGGTCAGTAATATTAATAAGTATTCATGAAAGTACGAAATGATTAGTATCGTAATAGTGATAGCAGATAATAATAATAATCGTAATAACAGTATTGAAAGTGAACTGCAATTGAAGGTGAGTAGCTATGAAGTAATATTCTGTAAGCGAAGGTTCGTAAATATCCGTGAATTGATACTTTGTGGATGGGGTTTGACTGCGCATAAAATTGAGACATTGTTCCATCTGAAGAAACAGTTGGAGGTGTTGAATGCTGATGAGGCATCGAACACCACTGGAATGCATAGTCGGTTCGTTGAAGTGGCTGTATTTGGTTATTATTATTTTTATTATTATTGTTATTATTATTAT